GAAGACAACTTCCCATTGTTACTTTACCTAAAGCAGTTCAGAAAATCCAAGTGACTCAGCTCCAGTACTCCCCATTTTGTGTGTGTGTGTATTTGAGGATGTTATTCCCTCCCCTTACATAAATTATTTACACTGGAGAGGTCTCAGGTCCCAGACATACTTTAAACCAGGTTTTTTAGTTAATCCAAACTCTACTCTCCTACCTTTCAATGTCTTGTTCCTTATCCTCCTTCATCCCCCTGGTGTCCCAAATTGAGAGTTGATTGGATTTCTAGGCCCCTGGGTACATATCTAATACCACAGAATTGCCATCTGTCAGAAGATAGGTTCCATGACATTAGAATGATTTTAACACTCATAGGACTTATACTTTCGTTTGTTTGTTTGTTTTTTTTTTTTTTTTTTTTTTTGAGATGAAGTCTCACTCTGTTACCCAGGCTGGAGTGCAATGGCGCGATCTCGGCTCACCGCAACCTCCGCCTCCTGGGTTCAGGCAATTCTCCTGCCTCAGCCTCCTGAGTAGCTGGGATTACAGGCACACGCCACCATGCCCAGCTAATGTTTTGTATTTTTAGTAGAGACGGGGTTTCGCCATGTTGACCAGGATGGTCTCGATCTCTTGACCTCGTGATCCACCCGCCTCGGCCTCCCAAAGTGCTGGGATTACAGGCTTGAGCCACCGCGCCCGGCCTAGGACTTATACTTTCTTTCTTTTCTTTTCTTTTTTTTTTTATTGTTGTTGTTGAGATGGAATTTTGCTCTTGTTGCCTAGGCTGGAGTGCAGTGGCGCAATCTCAGCTCACTGCAACCTCCACCTCCTGGGTTCAAGTGATTCTCCTGCCTCAGCTCCTGAGTAGCTGGGATTATAGGCTCCAGCCAGCATGCCCGGCTACTTTTTGTATTTTTAGTAGAGATGTGGTTTCACCATATTGGCCAGGGTGGTCTCAAACTCCTATCCTCAGGTGATCCACCCACCTTGGCCTCTTAAAGTGCTGGGATTACCAGTGTGAACCACCACACCCAGCCTGACTTTGCACTTTCTATGCACTAATCACTAAAGTACTTGATACTCTAGTTTACATGAATATCTTACTGCATTGTTCCTACTAAGTTATTCAATTTCTCTAAGGCAGGGATATATACCTTATTAATCTTTTCTTTTCCCAGCCCTCTCTGCTCCCTAAACCCCTCCTCAATTACATGGTGTTTATCTATAAAGAAGTAGTTGGGTAGATAAGTGATCTATCCAGTCTTTCTTAGTCTCAGCTTCAACTGTTGAAGTAAGTGGGTATCTAAGGTCTTTTCTAGCCTTGATGCGACAAATAGTGTTTTAGGCTGACATTTACACATTCTAGAACAATTTTAAAGCATGTAATAGGTTAAAAAGTCATGCAGCATAACCTAAAAAGCATTATTATTCTAAAAAATATCACAGGAGGCTAGGTGCAGTGGCTCATTAATTCCAGCACTTTGGGAGGCCAAAGTGGGGGGTTCACGAGGTCAGGAGATCAAGACCATCCTGGCAGGTGTGGTGGCATGCGCCTGAAGTCCCAGCTACTCAGGAGGCTGAGGCAGGGGAATCGCTTGAACCCAGGAGGTGGATGTTGCAGTGAGCTGAGATTGCACCACTGCACTCCAGCCTGGGCGATAGAGTCAGACTCCATGTCAAAAGAAAAAAAAAAGAAAAGAAAAGAAAAGGCCTGGCGCTGTGGCTCATACCTGTAATCCCAGCACTTTGGGAGGCCAGGGCAGATGGATCACCTGAGGTCAGAAGTTCGAGACCAGCCTGGCCAACATGGTGAAAACCCTTTTCTACTAAAAATACAAAAATTAGCTGGGTTAGGTGGCACATGCCCATAGTCCCAGCTACTCAGGAGACTGAGACAGGAGAATCGCTTGAACCTGGGAGGCGGAGGCTGCAGTGAGCCTAGATCACGCCATTACACTCCAGCCTGGGTGAGGCAGAGTGAGATTCTGTCTTAAAAAAAAAAAAAAAAAAAAATCAGAGAAACAAACAATATAATACAGGCCAAGCTCAGTGGCTCATGCCTGTAAGCCTGTAATCCCAACACTCCGGGAGGCCGAGACAGGTAGATCATGAGGTCAGATCAAGACCATCTGGCTAACACGGTGAAACCCTGTCTCTACTAAAAAAATACAAAAAATTAGCCAGGTGTGGTGACACGAGCCTGTAGTCCCAGCTACTCAGGAGGCTGAGGCAGAATAATCGCTTGAACCCAGGCAGCAGAGGCTCTAGTGAGCCGAGATTGAGCCCACTGCACTCCAGCCTGGGTGACAGAGTGAGACTCCATCTGAAAAAAAAAAAAAAAGAAAATATAGTACAGGCATATTAGAATATGTATTGAAAACATAAGGCATTATTTTAACTGACTTTTGTATGATCTGAAAAGTTGCAGTAATCTTTTTTTAGGGTTCATGCAAAGAGCAAAAATGTATTTGATGACTTGTCATTCTTATCTGATTAAGAAACAAAAGACTAACATATACAGGGTTTCTCCATATTGGTCAGGCTGACCTTGAACTCCCAACCTCAGGTGATCCTCTCACCTTGGCCTCTCTAAATGCTGGGATTAACAGGCATGAGCCACCGCACCCAGCCTAATTTTTTTTTTTTTTTTTTTTTTTTTTGAGATGAAGTCTCACTCTGTTCCCCAGGCTGGAGTGCAGTGGTGTGAACGTGCTCACTGCAGCCTCGACCTCCTGGGCTCAAGCGATCCTCCCCCACACAGCCTCCTGAGTAGCTGGGACTACAAGCATATGCCACCATGGCCGGCTAATTTTTTGTATTTTTAGTAGAGATAGGGTTTCTCCATGCTAGGCTGCTCTCAAACTCCTAACCTCAGGTGATTTGCTCCCCTTGGCCTCCCGAAGTGCTGGGATTACAGGCATGGGCTCTCAGGTTTTTATTATATCATTCTATTTATGTATATTTGAAATTTTCAAATTTGAAATATTCAAATGCCCAGCTGTTTTGTATTTTTGTAGAGACGAGGCTTCACCATGTTGGTCAGGATGGTCTCAATCGCCTGACCTCGTAATCTGCCTGCCTGGGTCTCTCAAAGTGCTGGATTACAAAGTGCAGGCCTCATCCTCTGTATCTTATACGTATAGTCTGACTGGGGAATTTAAAACATATGACTTCTCACAGATTAGTTTTTTTTTTTTTTTTTTTTGTAAATACAAGTGTTTTCTTTGAAGCTGCTCTTCTTTTTCTGTCAAATACTTCTGTTTAATTATATCACTAAAATGAATTTGGGGAAGTGCCTCCATTTTTAACTTATTTTTTTAATTGAAACATTGATGAGATAAAAATAAACAACTTAAAAATCATATTGAACAAGGGAACCTTTAAGGAGCCTTACCAATTGAGGTACAGCTATTAATAGTTGACAGAAATTACATTATCTAGGTTGCTTGTAATGGAAGTTGAGATACTTGCTTCACCTAAACAAGGAAGTTGGCATGTTTGCCTAGCAACAGCCGCTAAAACCTTCTGTTGTGGAAGGTTCCCTAGGAGTAAGAAGGGAGGAGGAAGAAAAGCAGGAGGAGCAGATTAATCTGCTTTTCCTAGCAGGGGACAGAGGCCTGGTTTGAGGAGGGAAAGGCTATAAGAGATAGCCTTTAGATTGGCACATGCTAGCCTAAATCCCCCTGTGGTAGCTAGAAATTCACTCTCTGTAGGACTGGGGTTACTATTTAGCACGCTGAAAAGACGATTACAGATTAAACCCAGTTCAAAGGCAGCAAATTCCAATCAATAGAAAGACATCAATAGGTCTAAAAAGAAGCTGAGATCTCAGTAGCAGGAGGATGTTAATTTAAAAGAATTCTCCGCCAAGAGTTTAGGAAGGTGTTTGATATTTCTTACAAATAATACAAAAACACTATCTGTGATAGCGATTCCATTGTATCAAGTTAAAGGCAGAAGTGCTTCTCTTGGGGTACTGTGAAGTAAACAGTGAAGAAACGACAGAAAAACACAATCTCTGCTCTCTTGGCCAAGTCCTGAAGCAAAAAAGGTGATGGCGCCGAGTAGAGAGTATTAAATAGTTATTCGGGGACTCTCTCTCTCCTCTATTCTAGATGATTTATTTCGAAATTAGTACTATATGGTGTTAAAATAATTCCATTTCTTCCCCATCTCAAAAGCGAAGGTTTGACTAAAATGAATTGTCTTGAAATTCATTCCTCAAAACCATAACGGCACGTTTTCCACGAGGGACAAGAAACTTTTAGAGTCGCAAGTTTAGATTTCAGGAGCTTTTCTATGGGTCAAATCTTTTCCTGTCGTCCCCAGACAACTCTTATTGTTCACACAGCCCAGGAGAAACGCTTTGGAGTGGCGTGTCCCGGCCTCTGGGCTGTTTCAGCGCCTTAGGAGGCTGAACTCCGAGAGGGGTGACAAGGACAAAGCTGATGCGATCCAGAACCTGGATAACACGGGAGAAGAAATGGGGTGTGGGACAAGACGTGGAAAAGAAACAAGGGTTGGGGAACGGCTGAGAAAGCCCAGAGTAGAAGTAGTGCGGGATTCGATGGAAACGACAGAAATTCCCCCAGTTTACTCTCGCCATCCGGCCACTGGCCCGCTGAGCCCACAGGCGCGGGTGCGGGAGGGCAGGCCGGACGGAGGGACCCGCTCCTCGGTTCAGGGCGCAGGACGCCGGGTCGCCGCGGAGAGCGTCGCCGGCCCCCCTCCCGGGCGTTGGTGGCCGGTGACTCAGAGGTTCGTCCCCGCGCCCGTCCCGCCCCTCCGCCCGTCCCGCCTCCTAAGGGAGGATCCTCGCTTTCGTCTCCGCCCCAGTCTCCGGGGCGGTCCGGAGCCTGAGGAAGAGGAAGGGGACGAGGACAACGAACGACTGGGCGGCGGAGGACGAGAAGGAGGAAGAGGAGGCAGACCAACAAGATGGCCCCTGCTGCAGGAGCAGCCTCAGCAGCAGCAGGTGGGAGGCCGGAGGCGGCGCTGGCGGTGGCGGCGGCAGCCGTGGCCCGGCGGCCTGGGACAGAGTCAGAGTCAACGGTGGCAGCGGCGGCGGCGGCGGCTGCCGCGGCGGTGGCGACGGCCGCGGGGACTCGGAGCTGAGAGGAGCTGCTGCTCGGACCAGCGCGGTGAGCGAGCGGCGGGCGGCGACTTGGGGAGCGGGGCTGCGGCGGCCGGGGCCTCAGTCGGGAACAATAGGCAGCTGTGGTCGGGAAGGGGTTGTCCTCGCCCGCCCTCTGCTCCTCCGCCGCAGCGGCCGCCCGGCCGGCCCCAGGCTCCGCAGGGCCCCCGCCGGCTGCTCAGGGGCTTGTCAGTGGCCGGCGTCCTTTAGGCCTCAGGCCTCTGCGTGCCGCCTGGAGGGCCTGTCGGGGTAGGTAGGCCGAGGGGAGGGCGAGGGAGGCTCGGACGAGAGGGAGGGGGCCACAGGGCTGCCTGGCTCTTCCGGTACTCACGGGCCTTGGCCGGGCGGGGAGTGCGAACGGGAGCTGCTTTTTGGACCCCTCGTCTGTGGGGGTGGGGAGGGCGAAGGCGTCTGTAAACAGGCGCCGCCTCTGCCTGCCGGCACCTTAGCACTGCTCCCTCCCCCAGCCCCTGAAGCACTCCCCTTCGTTGGCCAAGTGGGTTTCACGGTGTCTGTCTCCCCGAAGGCCCTGGAGATCAAGCCTGGCAGTCTTCTCCCTCCCGGCGATGGGGAAATTGTGTGTGTGCGTGTGTCTTTAAAAAAGAAAAACAAAAAACTTAAATGCAACAAAAATATACAAAACGTGGTTATCGATAAAGGATGGAGTGGTAAAGGATATTCCTCTCTAAACATCAGTTCTGTAAACATCAGTTATGCCCGCATTCCAGGTGAGAGTGGATTGAAACCAGGGCTCTTTTCCAACAGTAATAATACAACTCTTGACATCCCCAAATAGCCCATGAAACTGGAAACAAAGCCACTTACTGGCAACTCGGAGACAAATTGTAATGTTTAAAGAGAACTTTTATTTCAGCTAGGCGTTTTGAATTACTAACATGCAGTGTAAGAAGCAACATTAACCATCATAAAGTGGACCTCAGGAAGCACTTCTAAAGGAGACAGAGGTGGTTTATCTCCAGCCATAGAGCTGCTTGTGTATTGTGTCGTGTTTCAGTAATTTGTCCTGAAATTGTTCAAGACCAGACTTTTCTCTGAGTTTGAAATTTGATTTTGTTTTTGTTTTTTTGTTTGTTTTGTTTTGAGACAGAGTCTTTCTCTGTTGCCCAGGCTGGAGTGCAGTGGCACGGTCTCGGCTCATTGCAGCCTCCGCCTCCCGGGTTCAAGCGATCCTCCTGCCTCAGCCTCCCGAATAGCTGGCTAATTTTTGTATTTTTAATAGAGACTGGGCTTCACTCTCTTGGCCAGGCTGGTCTGGAACTCCTGACCCCAAGTGATCTGCCCACCTCGGCCTCCCAAAGTGCTGGGATTACAAGCCTGAGCCACCTTGCCCTGCCTTAAACTTAATTTTTGAGGCTTCTCCCACATTTTTTTATAAGTGAGGAAAAACGTAGATTCAAGTTATTTATATTCTACTTTCTACCTGGGTATGCAGAAATTTATATTAAAATTGCTTGGATGCATCCAAGGGATTGCTTTTCACTGTTTAACATTCAATTGCAAGGCCTAAGTGCTATAGATTGTGTTCTTAAGGAAGACTTTGATGAAAAGATGCCAGTTAATATCTTTTACCCCTTTTAAGGGTAAATTTCTAATTAGAATAGGTCCAAGTCTGTTATAATTAAAAACATGTTCAGGTTACATGAAGTCAAATAAGCAGCACTAGTCTAGTTTCTGGTTCTTCCTCAACAATTGATACTGAGTAGACTAGCAATTGAGTAAACATAGAGGTTGAGTTATCTTGTTTAGGATTTGAGGTATAGTGAATGAATATCAATATTGACTTTCCTTTTATGCATAGCATAAATAATGTTGCAGATGTTTTGATCTTTTGAATGATGGAGAACAACTTTCTGTGGTTCCTGATGTGACTTTTTCGCAAATAAATATTTCAGGAAGGACACCGTTTTTTAGGTGCTCAACTCTGTGATTTATTCTTCTGCACTAAATTTTGTTAGATCAGTACAGATTCCAACTAAAGTCTGTGTTACAATGATATTTAAATTTATGTGTGGCCCTAAACCTATTAGAGCAATAGTAATTTAATAAGTTGTAAGTTTTAAGTGGTTCATGTGCTGTTATGAAAAAAATCTCACTGTGTTATGTCAAGGACAAATTTACCTCATATTTAATATCATTTTACTGAAAAATGTTTTTCAGTGGTAAGGTTTTGTATTTGAGATTGGTTATTGACCCAGCAATATATGGAGTTAGTCTGCGTCCCTATTTCTGTTTAATAGGAAAAAAAAATTAGGGAATTGTTTTTATTTATTTTGTGTCAAAACAGTTTTAAGATGTGATTCCTCAACTGACCTATCTTCAATATCAATACTTACTCTGATTACTTCAGTTCAGATTTTCTCAAGTAATAAAAATTTACTTCTAAGAAGTTTTGGGACCAGAGCTTAAGAATGGCTCACGCCTGTAATCCCAGCACTTTGGGAGGCTGAGGCAGGTGGATCACGAGGTCAACAGATCGAGACCATCCTGGTCAACATGGTGAAACCCCGTCTCTACTAAAACTACAAAAAAAAAATGAGCTGGGCATGGTGGTGCGTGCCTGTAATCCCAGCTACTCAGGAGGCTGAGGCAGGAGAATTTCCTGAACCCACGAGGCGGGGTTGCGGTGAGCCGAGATCGCGCCATTGCACTCCAGCCTGGGTAACAAGAGTGAAACTCTGTCTCAAAAAAAAAAAAGAATTAGAGAATTAGATTTATATTTTCTTGGTAATATTAAAAGTTAATATATGCTTGATTTATTTGAAAAGATTGGAAAGAGTAATTTTGTACAAAATAAAAATTTACAGTTTCTTAGAACATATTTGTTGAACGAATAAAAATATTTAATCTTCCTCATTATGCTGCAGTATTAGTTTTATTGTCCTCATTTTTTCATATGAAGAATCTGAAGCTAAGAGTAGCTACGCAACCAGCAAAAAGATCACATAATTAATAGGCAGAAGAGCTTGCTCAGACCCAGGTCTTGTGACACAAATTAGATTCTTTGCCACTAACACGTGTGTCACAGTTAAACTTTGAAGCATCTTCTGTGTTGACAGACTCCTTTTTTGGCCTGCAAACTGTGTTAGCTCTAACATCCTATTATCATTATTTGTATTCTGCCAGATATTTAGTTATAAGACCAAAAAAGTATTTATTCATGTGAATCACAAAATAAACACTTATTTTTGTTTTTGCCATATCTGAATACTATAAAATATAAAAACTCATACTATTTACATAGGGCAGATTTATCATACTGCTATAATTGTTTTCATGGCTAGTTTGTTATGTAAGCAATTACTAAATTGTGTCTTTGAAATACTTTATAAAATTTTTATAATAACTAAATATATTCAATGGTGTTAAAGTTGAGTCAGCTAATACTTGAAGTTCTTCATTTATAAATTTTTTTCTTTAAGCCATAGGAAATTTAGAATTCTGCAGTATTTTTCATTTCCGTATCTTAGGGCTTGAAATTAAGTTTGGTTGGTCTAATCAGTCTACTCTTGCATATATCTTGAAAGTGGTCAGCATCCAACAAGGTGAAGAATAAACTGATAAATGATCCCTGTTTGGTGAACACCTCGGATCAGGATGTTCCTTGGCAGGGCATTCTGACCTGGTTTAGCTTTGGCCCTGTGCTCAGGGTTCAGGTATTCTTCAGGATTGGGTTCAGAGAGATTTAAATTCTCAGATTGGCCTGTATCAAAACAGTCACAGATTTCAGTCAGCCTGTTCTCTAGAACCTTCTCCAAGATTTTTTCTTTTGTTTAATCCTGGAATCTAGGCCGGATTTGGGCTAGCTTTAGAAGTTATGATAAAAGATTAATTTTGTCAGGCGTTTATACAAACGAGTTTTTCCTACTGCAGAGTTTCTTAAGGTAGATTCCTTCTATTTTTGAAGTGTGGTTGCCCTATATCCCCAAGACAGTTAACTTTAGCATATTTATTTCTATCCATTTTTGGTCAGGATAGTGCCTGTTTGCTTCTTGTATAATATTCTTGTTTGCTTTTTATTAGTTTAGATACTTCTTATTAATTTATAATGTTTTCCTGATTGAGGCTTGGTGTAAGAATTTTCCTCAAATTTAAAATCACTCTACCCATCTACAGATGTATGTCAGAGCAATATTCTTTTGACAGTTATCAAGCATTTTAGCAAAGCCGTATGTGTGTATGTATGAATGAATAACAATCACTCATGCCCTGTCACCCAGGCTGGAGTGCAGTGGCACTATCTTAGTTCACTTCAGCCTCAGCCTCCTGGGTTTAAGTGATACTCCTGCCTTACCTGGCTAATTTTTTTTTGTTTTTAATTATTTGATAGAGATAGCATTTGCTGTGTTGCCCAGAGTAGTCTCAAACTCCTGGGCTCAAGTGATCCTCCCACCTCCGCCTCCCAAAGTGCTGAGATCACAGGCATAGCAATGTTTTAAACTGACAGCATTGTACCTTCATTGATTATTACTGTGCACATATGGTAATAATTTAACTTACAATTTCATTTTGTGTAAACAATTTCTAAGATATAACTAGCATTTGAACATGGTAGCAGTTTTTTTTTTTTTTTTGAAGAAGAAGGAAAGAGTTCTAAAGGGGTCAGTTTTGTCTACAGATTAACGTAATTTTTTTGTTGAGGTTAAATCACATAACAAAATTAACCATTTTAAAGTAAACAGTTTAGGTGGCACTTAGTACATTCACAGTGTTGTACAGCCACCAGCTCAAATTCCAAAACATGTTCATTACCCCAAAAGGAAACACTGTACCCATTAAGTAGTTACTCTCTATTTTCCTCTTCCCTAATCCCCAGGAAATGCCATTGTTTTCTGTCTCTGTGGATTTAAATGAAATTAATTTGAGTCAACATTGAAGAACAGTACTATGTACAATTGAAATTGCAGAAAAAACTTTGGGATGTGATTGTTAGGAATAAAAAAACCTCCTAATTCTTTGCATGCTTCTCTAAATACAGTAGGCATCTGC